AAAAATTTCCATAATAGCATTTTTTTTAGTATCCCATAATAGCAATTCTCAACTCATTGACAAAGCACCTAAACACAGACCTTTGCTCATAGCGTTTTCATCGTATCGGTTCTTGTGCGTCAAACAGGAAAGCACTTGAAATCCCATTAAAGTTATAAGTGAATGCATTTATTTTAAAAGGGGAGGAAAAACACCATCTTTGGAAGTGTGTCTCTATAGACATCCTTAAAGTGAAAATATGTACAATGCACATTCTATGTAACTGAAGATGAATGATTAACCGTTCAGGTGCAAATTTCTTATGGTAGGAGCTGATGTTTGGTTCAAAAACAAGAAAACACAGCAGCTGAGTTAACTGCCAAGTCACTGTATAAAGTAAATATAGAGATGCTCCCAAATTTCATAAAACATGAGCTTCAGTGCTTCTGAACACATCAATCTTATCAACACTTAAAATGCAATCAGCTAGCCAGTCTAAAGACAAGAAGGCTGTGTGTCATTTCCTTATTTCCGATATTGGAAGACAGACATATTTTAATCATATCACTGCTTTGTTGAAAAAGCAACCTGAAGTAGAGATTTTTATGTTTGGCTTATCACAGCTAATACAATTTTTATAAAGCTTTAAGAACCTTTAAATAAATGTATTTTGATGCCTAGTTAATGACATTGGAACACCTTCACAAAAATCCATAAAAGAAAAATGATAATCACAGTGATGTTGCCATTTTTATTTAAAAGTCAGTCTAGCATTGGGTTGCCAGATTTGGCAAGTAAAAACACAAGACATGGGGTTAAAGTTGAAGTTCAGATAATATACAAATGATTGGGTTTGTTTTTGTTTGTTTTTACTGGAAATGTGTTCCATTCAATATTTGGGGCATACTTACACTAAGAATGACCTCCTTGTTTTTCTGAAATCCCACGTTAACAGAGGGCGCTGCACTTTATCTGGCAACCCTTGTTTATCAGCCTTGCCACTCCGTGGTGTGCTATGAGAAGCATGCAAAGCTGGATCCTATTTCGAGGGTCAAGAACAAGTGCTGGAGTTTCTGAGCTCACTCCATCTGCCAACTTTAAAACTCTGGCACATCCGCAGACCAGGAACGCTTCTTTAACAGAAGTAGAATGCATTTCCAATTAGACATTTCCATCTCTTAAAGGGAGAGAGAGACCCTACCCACTTGAGAAAAAGGTTACAAGCTGGCAAGTAAGAAAAAGAAAAATCTGGAACAAGCAGGAGGGGAAATTTTATCAGGAAGTAACTGAGTTGGGCACAAATAAGTTTGAGGCAAGAAAATGAAACACTTAGCTTAATCAGATTCCTAGGAATCAGTAATTGGAGATGAAGAGAGAGAAAATGAAAATAGGACATAAAGAAACATTTTCCATTTTTCCCTAGGAAGGTTGTGTTTTTTTGTGTTTTTCTGTTTTTGTTTTTTGTTTTTTAATTCCTAATGATCAGAAAGTTAGACATTTTATTGGCGAGAAATTTCCTGAGACATCATCCCTCTCTTTCTGAAGCTCTAATATTTAATAGTTCGTCCAACAGAAACCAATAGTTTTCCTTCTTCCTTCGGCTAATTCATACCTCCAGGTGCTTCCTGCTCCTCTGTATCCTATAAGATGAGTTCCCACAGATCCACACCTCTGACTCCAATGACATTGCCCACAATCATATGAAAGCCCACCTGGGATGCTGCATGACCAAGGTAGATTTTCTGCTTGCTAGCTCTGTTTTAGCATTTCCCAGGGTGCTCTGTGAGCGCCTGTGTCTGCTAGGAAATGCAGATGCCTTGGCTCCTGCTGGTGTCTCCTCACTGAGATTCTGCATTTCAATTTGCGTCCTGGTGACTCTAATCCCAATACATGTGGAATTCACAGGCTCATAGGGTTTGTGGCTCAGGGCATGGGGTGTTGTTTGTTTGGATGAAAGAGGTATAAACAGTGGGTTGCTTTTGGTTTGGATTTGGATTTTGGTTTTGGATTCTGTATTTGAGGAAAAGGATGGGTATCACAGATTTTATTTATATGAAAAGGAGAATTATAAGTCTTGCTGATGGTAATAGTAGGACAATCACGAATGTTGCTTTAAATGGATTGATTCTTTTTTTTTTAACACATTGGGACCATTCAGAAAAGTCAAGTATTGAAGAGCCATTATAAGCAACAACAAAATTAGATTTTTAAAGGGGTAAATTTGTCAAAATGTAAGAAAAAGAAGATAAAGGAAATGAAATCTTGTAATTCATATCACAACATAGAGGCAAATCTATGTTCCTGAAGGTTAGTCCTAACCTTTGAGTTTTATGTGTAGAAAGTTTATTACTGCTTTTCCTGAGTTACAGATAAATAGTTGGCCCCATTTTTGGATGGGGCAGTCTTTTGTTTGTTTGTTTGTTTGTTTCTTTTTAGTGATCACCCTCATGCATAGTTGAAGGTGAGTGGTGAATCATTCTGATTGTCTTTTTCTTGGTAAGAAATGGATCCATTTGATCTGAAGCTGTTCAGAATCAGGGAATGCTTAGGGGAACAGGAGAAGGAAGCCTGCAAGCTATAAAGCCTGGAATTAATCTAAGCCTGTTAAGAAAACACTTGATCTTCAAAATTAAGAAAGAGATGAGCAAATTCAGCCCATTTAATACAACCTTTAAAAGATCATTTAACTCCCTCACATCAAATACTTTTAGGAAGTGGATTTCAAAGTGTGTCCTCCTTAGGAGTGAAAGCACAAGATTCATGCAATCTCTCTTACTCACCCTTTACCTGATCCCAGCCCCAGTCCTACCCCCAAACAGATGCACTCACTCTGCTTCAATATTTCTGCAGTGGTAGCTCCGGTGAGGTCCCAGAGACACACCTTCTAGGACCCACATACACCCTGATGACTACCTCAGACCAGTTGCTTTCTTCTACATGTGCAAAGGTCCTAATGTGTGTTAACAAAATGGGGGGGGCTCCTGGTAACTCACCTCATTAACACATTAGTTATTAGGACAGAAACAGTTAACACACCCAAAGAAATTAGAACAGTGCCTAGTACCTGGTAATAAACTTTCACTATTATTTGTTTCTGTTCTTGGACTGGGTACAAGATTTTATTCAAGGGGAAGTTTCTACTGCCTTTAAAAAGTTTTTGGAAGGCCTACTGCTTCGAAACAGTATTTCATAATTTATGAGCATGCTTTTGTCCTTTTGTCCTTTGGCTGAAAGCTAAGTCCCTCCCCCTTTCATCCATTAACCCTGAACTCCAAGGGTTAAAGACATATCCCCTTCCTTTCCCAGATGTGGGCTCAGGGGTGTGGTGGTTAATGATATAAGGATGATGTCATTATAGTACCAGAAACTATTGCATTATAATCTGTTGTTTTTCTCTTGCTAACTTTTTAAAGGGAGAAACATTTTATTCATTATCTAAGCTTTCAGAACCCTTTGGAGGTACACTCTGCACAAATGCTGTTATTATCACCCACACTCGGTGAAGTACTTGGGGATTAGAAGCGTTATGTAAATGTTTACACATTATTACACTGTGGCCCAAGATCCACAGTGGGACAGCAAAGACAGCCGGGAAAGAAGCAAGAAGCCCCAGAAAGTCAATGGTTTTTGTAAAAGGTATGAAATTCTCTTTAATTTTAGCATAAAAATAGCTGCATTTCTGAAGAGTAATTTTATAGCCATTAAGGAAAGTACATATGGCTGTATAAGAAAAAACATCTAAAGGGAGGATTTGCTGCATACTTTAAGGATAGGGTTCTTAGAGAAAAGGCTACTAGGGACTGGATTTAAAATGCTGGGAGGGGCATTTGGAATTGACTGGAAGAACTTCCTGGCAATAAAAGCATGTTTCCCGAAGCTGTCACCACCTCTTTCCCTATGGAAGGAACAGATTCTCTTACTTGGTAGGTTCTGCCTGAAGGCAAACACTTGGAACTCTTACTCCCAGCTGACGATTTTAATTAGTAAGGTCATTACAGAACATTGAATCACACCATATTCTCTTCAAATCTTTCCTCTTCCTCCTAGGGAAAGTCTCCGGTTAGTGCAAGGGTGTCCTGAACACCCCTAACACTCGCTAGACTCCTTTTAACCAAGAGAAGCAAAGATCAGTGTCTTTACCTGGTCCGCGTGTCTAGGTAAATCATAATTGTTGTGTTAGGCCAGTGAAGCTGACTTTCCATGTATGGTAATGATCTTAAAAATTCCTTTTAAAGTAAGTGTGAGAAAAAGAGGAATCTGTTATCAAGAGACACTACCAGACCAAGTACAGCGCCTGTGGCATGACATGTAATGAACATCTTGATGATCTGAGGAACCAAGGTCTGGCCGTGCCTGGACTAGTTGATTTCACGGTCTTCAAATTCCAGGATCCTGCGAGGACAGGAGGAAGCGCCTGGGCTGTGGAGTCTTAGGTAGGGCCCGGGAAAGCACAGGCAGTGCCCATGACAGTAAGAAATCCATACACTCAGGAAGGATCTACATCAGCACGGGCAGCACTGTGCGCACTGAAGACAAACAGTCCTGCTCTTGATATTTTAAAAATATCTGCTATGAACCGCTTCAGATGATTACCGAAAGGATGTTCAGTTTTAAATAAAGGGCAAAAGATACACAAGTTGAAGGAGAAAAGCCACGCCCCCTTTTCTCAATGTTTAGAAAGATTCTACACCCTCCCCCCTTCATGTTATTTAAAAACACAAGAAAAAGAGAAGGAGGGGAGAAAAGCAGTGTAGCAAAATCTCTGCCAGAAAACACAGTAAATTCTAGCTTGTTAGCAGCCCAGTTCCAAATTATTTTTAAAAAACAAATCCTAACAGTCATGTAGTTACAGCTTCTGAGGGAAGCTCTAAGCCCAAGGCTGGTGTCCCAGAAACACACACACACACACACACACACACGGAAAGAAACCTAACCAGTCTTCTGACAGGAATCTGAAAGCAAAATCTCCGAGGCAGCAGCAATGCCCCAGAGGAGGAGAGGGCTGCAGCTTGCAGTAATCTGTAAATGATTGCGGGTAAAGTCTGGAGGCTTCAGGCTTGATCTGTGTTTGTTCCAAAAGAAAGCCAAGGAGGACGGTGTTAATAAAGAGAGATTTAACGGAGAGCTGTGCTTGGAATAAAGTGGGCTACAAAAAGGTCAAATTTGATCAGTTGGAGCAGATTACAAGGGCTTTAAACGGTGGTGTGGAGAAATGAGCCGGGGCTGGGAAGGAATATAGCACAAGATTGATTTGGGGGGTGGAGAAAAGCCAGGACAAGTGCTTATCAATCCTAGAAGTAAGAAGAGCTGTGCTGGGCGCCCCATGGCTCTGGCCTGAGCCAAGAAGCAGGCTGGCTGGTTTCTCCCCCTGCACCCACCCCTTCTCCCCTCCTCTCGGATTGGATTCGCCTTCAGCTGCCTCTTAGACAATGGTTTCCTTAATCTCTGACTTGGATCCACTCAAAGACTGGAAAGTTTTAAGGTAGGCCTGCTTTCTTTCTCTCCCATCGCTGTTGCAGTTCAGGGCCAAGTTCCTCCCCACCCCCACCCCAATTAAGGAGCGCTGGATGAGAAGCGAAATGCCTGTGGTGGCTTTCAGTGACCACCAGATCTGCGTGGAGGACACTCCTTTTCCTCAGGGCCACAACCCCAGCAGTTGTGCAAAGCGAGGCGTGAGAAGTCCTCAGTCTCACTCTGAGAGGGGAATGCGATGCATTTTAATGAGCGTGTGCGCAGTCTTACTGAAATGATTTCTGACACCAGCTCAGTCCCAGGAACCTGTTCTCATATTTATTATTGTGTTTCATGGGGCCCTGATGAGATGAGAGGGGAGGCAGCAAACTTTTGGGGACTTCAGATTTAAAAAAAGCAAACTATTTCCAGAAAGCATTATTTATTCCTGCTCTTCTTTTTACAATCTGTGGAAATATGTTCCTCCTAGGTCCTCTCCTTCTCCCCAGGTCAAATTTGTAAAAGCTAGAAAACCTCAGCTGACCTTAACACTGAATGAGTAGAACTTATAAAATGAGGTCTTTCTCTGAATGCTCCTAAAAATGTGAACTCTGACCTTGGCCTCTCTCAATGGCCCAGGAAAATTAAAACCAAGGAGCTCAAAGTGGCAACAGTCATGTATGTATTCCCTCCACCTGAGTCTCAGCCTACTCTTTTTGCAGAGTTCACAATGAATTCAAAGGTTTAGCATAACACCAAATGGTATTTCCCAGGAAAAAAAGCACTCATGACAAGTTTTAATATATAAAAAAGTAAAATTAAGGGATTTTTATCAAAAGTGATTCTATAAAATATCAAATTGTTCTAAATATCTACCCCAAAACATGGTTCCATTGGAACTAAATATAGAATTAGAAGTATGTGTGTTTCTGGGATCTCTTTTTCCTGACATTTATCTTGAACTAGAGGCCCGGTGCACAAATTTGTGCACGGTTGGGGTCCCTGGGGGTAGCCTGCAGAGATTGGACCCCAGCTTGAACGCCCAGCCTTGCTGCCCCACCTGGAACCCTGCCTTGGCCAGGTCCCACCCTCTCACCTGTTCCACCATCCCACCTGCAGGGCAACCAATCCAGGCCGGGCGCCCCACCTGGCTCCCTTAGCACCTGGGAGCTGGGCAGCAGCTCTACCCCCTGCCACCGCTGGTCGCTGTCTGTGGGGCAATCAGCAGGGCAATTGGGCCCCTGCTTGCACCTGCTTTGGCCTGGCGCCACCCGCTCACCTGCTCCATCATCCTGTCACAGTTCTGCTTTCATCGGGGCCCATTGGGGCTGGCAGCGCCTCCACTGTTGCCCGCTGCCAGTGCCACCTTGCTGATACCTGCCATGTTCCATGTCAACCCCTGGTGGTTAGCACATGTCATAGCAAGAGGTCAAACTCCCAGTCTCCCGGTCAAAGACCACCCGAGGGGACAATTTGCATATTAGGCTTTTATTATATAGGATTACTTAGCTATTCTTTATTTCCCTCTCATGAAGTCTGCCTTTTTGTTTGTCTACTGTTTTTTTTAAGCAACAATATTATACAAAAGATCAAATAGAAAATACCCAATATCCATCTTAATGATTTTCTTGCTTTCTAGAACTCTTTGTGTACTAGTATATGTGTTGTAGATCATATTGTATGTGCTATTTTATAATCTGCTTAGTTTTTCCAGATAAATATCAAACATATTTTGTGTTTCTGTTTACCATTCATAACCATGATTTTAATGGCTAAATAAAGCACCATAATGTTGGTGTACATTATTTACTAAATTATCATTTGTTGAAAATTTCGATTGGCTCCAGTCCTTGATTTGTATTAACAACAACACAGTGAACATCTTTATGCGTATAGATTTTTTGCTTTCATTAAATAATTCCAAGGATTTCTAGGTGGAAAGGCACAAACAGATTTCTGGGTCTGCCAGTGATGGTTTTTTTTTTTTCTGTTTATAGATTTAAATTTTATTTGTAACTGAGAGATGGTAAAGTACTTTTACAAATGTTCTTATAATGCTGCTTTAGAATGAATTTCATTCTCCTTTCCTTTAACTGGATTAGTAGTCTATTTCTAAAATTAAAATATTTCTTAACAATGCTTTTTAAAAATCATTTTTGGTGATTACCTTATTAATATCATTGCACAAGTAGATAAGGTTGGCCCTAGCTCTAAGAATGTGTGGGACAGCCCTAACTGGTTTGGCTCAGTGGATAGAGTGTCGGCCTGTGGACTGAAGGGTCATAAGTTCAATTCTGGTCAAGGGCATGTACCTTGGTTGCGGGCACCTCCCCATTAGTGGGTGTGCAGGAGGCAGCTGATCGATGTTTCTCTCTCACTGATGTTTCTAACTCTCTATCCCTCTCCCTTCCTCTCTGTAAAAAAAAAATCAATAAAATATATTTTAAAAAAATTTGTGGGATAATACATCTTTTGATGATGCAGCCCTTAAAAGTCCTTTTTGGATGATGATCCCAATTCTTAACCCATTTAAAAATCAGTCATAATGTTGCCTTTTCCCTAATGTGTCCCTAACATAAGTGAAATTTACTTTATGGCTACAGTAAGTAAAGCTTCCCAAACTTGGATTGGCAAGACCTGGCAAAGATATAAATTTTTGCATCGACCACTTTGGGTATGCCAGGCTCATTGTCTTCACCTCTTCTTGGCAAGCATAATTTTATCATCCTTTTAACTGTGTGTAATGCTTTCCAGAAGTAGGGAATTGTAAAGGGGATAGTATTTATGAATTGCATTTTATATTCCTTAATTGTTTACAATGAGGAATTTTGTTTGGCTAACTCTGATTCATTGAACCAGTCAGTCACTGACAATGAGTCGCTGTCATCTTATGTGAGAGAATCAAAGATATAACATGGCCTTATAAATGGGACAACCAGCTGGAGAATGAAGATGTGTGTGCTGATGCCATACAGGGTTGTATGTGATATGTCTTACATCAATAAAATGCTTTAGACATCCCAGAGGGGAGAGACCCCATTCTGGTCAGGAAAAGCAGCACTGTTACTGCCCTTGTCTGATTAATAAATGAGCAGAATGCTTAATTTATGACAGTGGAAAGGTTTCAAACCTGGAATGTTTTCTGATGTTGCCTCCAGGTATGCAGCCTGGAATTCTGCCAAACCTGTTGCTCTTGAAAAGTGATCGCAAGGAACAACTTTTTAAATCTGCTGACACCATAATTTAGTGTTTTAAGATATGATCTGCTGCTGGGCTACAAGTTCAGGTCATAAACCTTTCTCAGGAACTGTATATATCATTCTAGGTATATTTTGTCAAATGGAAAAATCAAGGCAGTGAGTCATGCTCTTGGCTGTTTTAATGTAATGTCTATGTTAAGGGGCATTAAAGAAATCTAACTTCCATCCGAAAACATGCCAATAATTTTCAACAGTAAGACTCCCCTCTTGACCATTGAGAAAGGACAAACACAAAAGTTTCACTCAAAGAAAACATTCAAAATCAGCTAAATCAATAAAAAGTATTCTTAGTGCACAGAAGAAATAGGAAATGACAATTTAGTAGACCTCAGATTAAAAGAATTAAAAAATAAAACACCCTGGCAATATGATTAATACAAGATTGAATGTTTACAGGTATTACTTGAGGGGAAAAGAGTTGACAGTGAGGGAGAGTTAACAGGGGGTGAACCTCTGAATTCCTGGCCTTTGCTATAGGCTTCCAGCCCCTGCATCACCTCTTTGGAAGAGTCTAGAAAACCCCAAATCTAGTTTAACTCTACCATTTAGAGATGAAGGCATTGAGCATAGACTAGATGAGGTCACAGAATTCATTAATGGAACAAATTGCTGCTACACCCTTCTCTTGAACTCCATCATATTGGCTGAGGGATTTTATTCACCTTCTCTTCCCTTCCCATCTATCCTCCCGCAATTTAAAACAGCTCAACCCAGGTTTCTCCTCTGAGTTCCCAGACTTCTCAGCCCAGCCAATGTATGTCTTAAAGATGACTTGAGCTCCAACAGGCTGTGAACTATATATATAATCTCCCCCAAGACCTGATTCCTTTCTGTTGCTCACAAGCTAGACTCACACAGCTATCCAGCCAGGTACTCAAATTGGAAAGCTAGGCATCCTCCATGAGCCCCCACTTTCTCACTTAATTACATCCACACTGTCACCATCTCCTGTTGATTTCAGCTCCTAAACATCTACAGGCTCTTCACTTTTCTCCATCTTTCCTTGCTATCATCTTGTTGTTCAGAACTCTGTATGACTTCCTAACACATCTCCCTGCTTCAGTTCTTGTTCTCACAGTCTATTTTCCACACAAGAGGAATGAAAAAAACTTCAAAAGACATAAATCATATGGTGTGACTTGTCTATTTAAAAGCCTCCCATTACTATTCAAATAAAAGCCAGTATCCTTATTCTAACCTGCAAGACTCCATCTGACTTAGCCCTGACTACCTCTCCAGCCATATCTCCTCCCTCTCCCCGCAGACCATGTTGCTCCAGCCACTTCGGTCTTCTGTCTCTTCCTCAGACAAGTCAAGCTTATGTTGGACTTAGGATATTTGCACAAGCTACTCCCCTCCCTACCTGGAAATCTTTGCTATTGGCAGGGCAGGATGCTGCTTGTCATACAAATCGTAGCTCAGATGTCACCTCCTCAGTGAAGTCGTCCCAGACCCCACAATTAAAGTCATTCAAAAGCCACTCTCTAGCATATCTCCCTGATAGGTTGAACCATATACAATTGCCAATATTCAACCATTTTTGACCTATTTAAAAAAAAAACCTCAATCCCACATGATTTAATTAGTATTCTCCTCACAGCACTTACCAGTACCTACTATTTTCACATGTACTTATTTATTATCTCTCTGTCTCATTAGAGTATATGGTTTGTGTGGTTAATTGGATATACCCAGTACCTAAAATATTTCCTGGAACATAACAGATAATGAATGAGTGAGTGAATAAATGAAGCGCTCACTATTTGTCTCT